TGAAGACGCTAGGTTATGCGGTTCCCAGCCAATCACCGTTGAAAGAACATATTTACGCTTTGTAGTCTGCTTGGTGACTAGCAGTGGAATCCAGGAGGTACGTTTCGTCCTTCTGGGGACTCGTCAGTTGGACGTACCTGCAAACCAGTGATTAACGTTTGTGTCATTGAGACTCGAACGCCATACTCTCATAGGAGCCCGTCTACCAACTAAGGTCGAGCAGTTCAGCTCTATATAGCAACCAGAAATGACAAGTATCAAAACAACAAGTAATACTCGTTGTCCAATAGGGGGTTATCGTGCTCTACTGGCCTAGTGGATGACACTTTGATGTTTGAAGCGATGGGCACTGTTTTCGAGTTTCAATAAAGACAACATCACTCAGTGGGGTGCAGATAAACCCAGCTACTGAGCCCTAAATAGGATGAAGCGCGCGTCCTAGATGAAACGACAGTTTACGTTCTATCGAGTAATTTTATATCCACTGATTTCATATCATGATACCAATAAGATTTCGATCAATTTCGCTCAATAACAAGCTTTCAGAAACATAGGGAACCGAGAATTGGTTTACTTTCTTCTTGAGTGATGGTATTCAAGAGTCCAATAACAACAAAATTAATCACAAAAAGCAGCTGATTTCAAATTATTTTTAACAAAGATTAAAATCAGTTGAACAACCCTTGAAAATCAAGAAATACCGTCTTGTTTCATGATTTGTTATTAGTGCACAGCCACAACATTGTGAGAGTTCAAGCCGCTGGCCATCATATCCTATAAATGAAATCCAGTGATCAAAACTTTCTTACTTCTGCTTACGACTTGATTGATGCCTTGGATCATGACTCCTGACTAGAACTTCGGGAAATTCATTTCGAAGCAAGTTACTTAAGAACACTAGACAGTATGTCAGGTGATTACTTTTATGGATCGACGGACTTCAAAATACTCACTTTTGAGGATTAAAATTAGTTAGGGAACCAGTGAAAACTTAAGACTCTTCACTTTCTTCAAATAATGTAGTCTGGTGATGAAAACCTCTTTGAACCATGGAATAAATTAGACAATTTTTATGCCACCTATAGAACTTGGTATCCATGTTTATTATAAAAGAAGCCAAATCCTTAGAAAACACTTTAAAAGTTCATATAAATTGTGAGTGAACAAATACACAGAAATACTTTTTATAAGTACAAAATCAAGATTTACTTAAACATGAATCACTGAAAAAAAACACCGCTGGTCCATATTCGATGGATCGAGTGAGACACGGTGAGTAAATCCGTTGTAACCTAGATTCCATTTGGCACTAGCTTACAGTGGAAACTAAGATGCATATTCTCAACGTTCATTGGATATACACCACTCCAATATGTTGGTATTTCTTTTGGAAATCAATGATGGTATTCACTGCTTGAGTAGAAAGAAACCTCTTGGACTGATCTGTAGGTTTTGCCACTGAATCAGATCTAAACAGCGGGCAGCCGTTCCTCTCTCCTGAGACTGGGCTCACATCAGTAGTGTACCTGGATAAATTCATCTCACAGAGTGGCATCATTCCAGACTACCTGAATTGTCTGGCTAGCTGACTTGTATGGACGGGGCAGTAAACCTACCCTAGGATGATCAATTTAGAAATGATTTACAAACTTCACGGGCCACGTTGATATTTCTCACAGTTGAGTAGTTTTTCAACTAGCACCCAACTCTGTCGTCAAAGGCTGTCCGGTGTTGATATCACACTGATCTAGCTGACTGACGAAATCTACTGGCCGGCCAGAGTAGTTTCTAACTACTTAAATTCTTCACTAGTAGTGAAAGAAGCAAAAAGGGGTATGCAGGAAGGAATGTCTGTCGTCAACCAGTGGGACAGTAGTCGTTGAATGTGGTACACCTTACATTAAGACCGTCATTTGCAAAATATGCTTCATTTCCTTTACTGCTTCTTTCTTGATTTGCTCTTCACACGCCTGAGTTGCCTCTTGCATTTCTCTTGGCGGAATCCCTACCCACTGCTGGTAATTCCCTATGCTTTCTGCCACCCTCTCGATATATACTACTTATATCCATTCTTATCAGCAACGCCCACTAGTTCATGACATTTCTGTGTCATCTTGTTTCCGGGGGGGGGGGAGGTTAACGGAAAACTTGTTAACACAGCCGCTGGGTGGCAGTTGAAAAACTACTTAGCTGTGAAAAATGTCAGTGTAGACAGTGTACTTTGTGAATTATTTACAAAGTGATCAACCTATTATTAATAAAGAGTATTTCTTAAATCGTTTAGTGTTCACAGTCAGTATGTGTATCCCAAAAAATTGAAAGGTTTTCTCAATAAAGACTGCATTTTCTCCCCTTCAATACACTTATAACTTCGCTGTAAAGTCTTCTGATATCAGACCATCCTTTTATTGTCATTGGTTCAAACAGATAGGAATATTAGAAAACTAGAGGCCTAGGATCAGTTTATCGCATAATAAGGGTTAGCAAGACGAAATCAAATTTCAGAAACTACAGTCAACGAAAGACCCAATCGAAAAAGCAGAAAAGAACCTCATCGTCTCACTAAAGGAACCGAAAGATAATGGATATATTTCACTAACCTTACTTGAAAAATTGTGGCCTATAGGCAGCACGATCCCACGGATGTATGGTCTACCAAAATTATACAAACCTGAGGTGCCTCTTCGCCTTATCCTAGTCATGGCCAACACGCTTTACCATGATATCGCTAAATGGTTAGTATGATTACTTCAACCTTAGCGTGTTCAGTTAACAAAACATAGCATCAAAGACACCTTCCAGTTTGTAGACAAAATAAATGCATGGGATCTTTGTTTACTAACGTCTCTCTAATGGAAACCGTCAATTATATTTTTGAACAATTATTGGAAAGGAAATTAGACATTGACATTCCTGTTATGAATTTGAAAGAATTATTGCTAACGTGTACAATAAATGTCCAGTTCATCTTCAACAGTAATCCGTATAGACAATTTGACCGAGTGGTCAAGGGAGCTATATTGGGCCCAATATTTATAGACATATTTTTAGTAAAATTGAAAAATGATCCTTTGGAAAATTAAACTGCCAATATGGAGTTTTACTGTCGATAGGTGCATATATGTAATAATTCTATTCTGAACCATTTCAACAGAGCTCACTCATCAATTCATTTTACCCATTAAAATGAAATCAATGATTCTAAACATTTTCTTGATGGACTTATGACAAAAAACGAAGATGGCTTTGTACTGAGAAGTATGTTTCTATCAAAGAATTATAAAAGTAATATAATCAGGTGCCTGGTATTCATAGTAAGATTGATTTGTTCTGAGGAGTGTGTGGAAGAAGAACCACAGTGTATCCGTGATATTATAATTTGAAATGGATATTCAGATAAGTTCATCAAAGCTAACACCAACTAAATTGGTCCTAAACAATAAGTGATGACGGTGGAGAAGAAGCCTTTTTTCTGTGTTTACAATTCAAGGGAGATACTGCAAGTGACATTCTATCAATAGGACATTTAGTGCAGGTTGGTTTTCTTTGTCGTTCAGTAGTCAGTCGACCAACGCTCAATCCGAGACTGAAGGACACCTTACCTAATCTAAGCTCTTTATCTTGGATATATCAGTTTAACTGTTCCTGTGGAACTAGTTACATATGGCGTACGATTAGGTAGGTGCGTTTCCGAATACGTTGCACAAATCTATTTTACAACTGGAGTACCTGAAGAGAATTGATTGAAAAGAATATTCTTCGTTCAGATTGTTGCTTTTTATCCATTCATCTATCAACTTATATGCAATCTATATCTATTGTTTGACAAGTGAGAATTGTCATTTCCTCATGATGCTTTCGATGCATAATCTTTTAAACCAAATCAATCAACCTTGGAGATTTACACCTGTTCTGAGAACGTTCGGGATACGAGCTGACTTTAGGTTGGCTTTTAGTTACGGAATGAAATGAATTAACAGTTCTGAATAAGTTTATCAACGACCACATTCAGATTTGTGAACTAGACAGTGCGCTACACTACACAATATGTGAAGAGTAATGATATTCTTTTACACTCCAAAACGCAGCAGATGGAACAGACTTCAAACTTGTTTGTAAATCGACTGCCTAACGAATGAGTCACAACTCCAACCACCTGACTGTATATGCCGTGATTCAACAAGATCTTGTGGGCGCACACTACTCAGACGCATTCAGTCACTAAGATAGCTAGCTATCCTAAGTCATATGACTTTAAAAGTTTCTCTGGTTGATGTCAGTCTGCGGAAAAAATCACCAAACTAGTAGCGTTTTCGAGTATTAAATAAATTATTTAACTGGTGTGCAGTTCATGCCAATAATCTTTTATCCAACAAAAGGTGTATCAGAATGACGATTGTTTGATAAAAGGGAAACTGAAAATTTGGACCGAAGCCGGATTCGAACCAGTGACCGCCTAGTTTCCGGCCTGATGCTCTATCAACTCAGTCTCAGGGTCACTGGTTCGAATCCGGCCATGGTCCAAATTTTCATTTTCTCTCTGATCATCACTCAGTATAGATACTAGTCTGCCAAACTATGGCTATCTCAGATAGTCACATGATAAAAAGGGAGACTATTTGTCACTGAAGGATGTAAGTAGTAATCTGTATAACCGATAAGCAACTCTTTAGCACTGTCACTGCATAAGATCTAACGGTTTGGAGAAGTATGCTGTCTAGCGTGAATACCCCCAGATTAGACTGTTGATCAGCTTCTTCGCTGTCATTCTCCAACTTCACTTTTTGAAGTTTATAAACCAGGATCAATGGATGTGTAGATTGTCGAAATGTAGTTGGCAACAACATTCACTAGGTACTTATGAAAAGAAACTAAACTTTATACTCTTTATGGCAGAATAAGGAAGTGATTGCTGGAAGAAGAACAAACATACAAGAATATACTTTCTAAAAGAGGAAAGAAGACATACTACGCGTGTCATTAATTGCATTCAGAGCTACCTGGTATTCCTGGTCTTCCACGTGGTCCAGGGTATCCTGGTAAACCTTTAGCTCCTTGTGGCCCGACAATTTTGCCATTATCATAACCTTGAACTTGGATAGGACCTCGAGGACCTGGTTCACCTGGAGGTCCTGATTCACCAGCTGTACCATCTTTTCCGGGTGGTCCATCTTCTCCAGGTGTACCACGTGGACCTTTGATTCCTCTTAGACCCATTTGACCAGAACCACCTCGAACTCCCGGTGGACCCTAGTTAATAAGAGAGAAAAAGGCATTTTGTAGTGTAAATTTCGCACAACTTAAACCTTTATGAGCACTTAGAACAAGAAAATCTAACTGGTCATATTAAACTGACATTAGGGTAAGTTAGTTATATAAAAGGAACCAACCAACCACTTCTGCATAGAGCACCATTCTCCAATGAACAGGGAAACAAAATATTGACCAGTCAGATTTGACTAACTCAAACACAATCATTCAACCTGAACTTAGCTCACATAGCAGGTTACATACAAGGCTGAAAGGTCAGTCAGTTAGGTCAAGTGAATAAAAAAGGAGCGCATAACACGTGTTACTGTGACACGTAGGTGGCATTTCAGCCTAACAGTATGATTACCAAATTATCAAATCTAAACTAATGGTTATAGGGTTCAAGTATCAGTCCAAGTTGCACATACTGTAGAGAATTGAGTACAGATTTCGCAATCCACTTTGTTACCGCCTAATAAACACCAACAGAATGCCATTTATGACATATTTATTGTTGCATCTTAACACAGAAGCAACTTATCAACAATAGCTGACTGACTTCGGTGACAGAAGGCAACCAACTTCATTGACAACTGACACATGTTAGATTCATTAACTATCATTTATCAGGTTGGTAGATTTAGGAGTTAAAGTTACTTACGGATGGTCCAATACGTCCGGGGATACCTTGAGAGCCAACTTCACCTTTTGGACCTTGTAGACCAGGATAGCCTTGTTCACCATCATCTCCAGCAGGACCTCGTTCACCAATGGGACCAGGTAGACCAACCTGTCCTTGGGTTCCTGGTTTTCCATCTGTACCCTGTTTCCCATCTCTTCCAGTAGGACCTTTACCTCCTGGTTGACCAGGTTGTCCCATTGGTCCAGGCTGACCTGATGGTCCAATTGGTCCAGATGGACCTCTTTCACCAGGCGCTCCAATACTTCCAGGACCACCAGCTATCCCAGCTTTACCACGACGTCCACGAGCACCGGTTGGACCACGACTACCTTGTGGACCTGGAGGGCCTGGATCACCTGCTTCACCAGATGGACCTCGTCCACCACGTCCACCCTAAGTTAAGAAAAAATATGTCAATTTGAAAATAAATGAATCATGATCAAACATCTCAAACCATCTGATGCAAAAATGATACACTTCAACTAAGAACTAGTCAATGTAATAAAATCTAAGCAACTAGTCATTAAAACCGGAATTATTTGTAAATTGAATAGTAAGCATAAGGAAGTATTTTTAGTACATGGTCTCCATAACTGGTCATTTAATAGCTTATTGCTTATTTACCTTTATCTGATTTTCGTATATACGAGTTCATTTAGATGTTGCTGAATGACTTTTTATGTTTACTCACTGAAATCTAACCACTCAATTTGAAATCTATTTGTAAAGCAGATCAAGAATTGTGGATGGTTTGATGCACTAGCATTATCAAGTTGAATGAGGAAGGTTTTTTCATAAAAGGTTTGATATTTATTGTTATGCCAGGTAATGATTGAAGGTGAAATGGAAATCTGAACCACAGTTGAATTCGAACCAGTGACCATCGTGTTTCCTGCCTGATACTCTACCAACCAAGTAACGACATCCGATTGCTGACCAGATTTTTATTTCACTTCAACTACCAGGGTTTTTGCTCGACTACCATGTGAATTCGTGATGCGTTACTACCACCTGATTGTATTCACACTGGCTACCTAGTCAGGACTTCTCATTCCAATCCCAATCTAACTGAATTAAGGAGGGTGAGCATCATATTGATTATTGTTTTGACTACCTGAGGTAGCCTGGTGGTCACTTGTTTGAATCTAGCCGTGATCCAAAGTTTCATTTCACTTCAACCATTACCCATTATCAATACTAGTGTGCCAAACCACGGACATCTCAGATATTCGAGATGATAATTGTTATAATTTACTTCCTGATGGCTAGCAGTGAAATCCATGACGCGTTTCTTCCCCATGCTACAATGACCTAGAAATGAACGCTATGCCGTTTGAAGCGATAGATAGGGTGTTCGACTTTCAGTGCGAACAACATCACTAGGATGCAGCCAAACTCATCTGGTAAGTTCCAAATAGGACGAAATGTACATCCTGGGTTTCGCTGCTAGCCACCACCAAGCAACTATTCATGCAGCATATCAACAAGATTTCTGTTGAGCGAAACCTATTCACAATCATGGGTTATAACAGTTTACACGAAACTGTTTTTATGGAATTAGACATACTGCTGAGAAAAAGGAATAGTTAGGAAATATTCATGCTGATCTATAAATTTCACTTGCTTTATCTGAGTGATACAAACAGTAGGCTGTCGCTTAACTTGTTTCAGGATAAGTTTAGTTAACATAGGCAAACTATTTTCACTAATCGGATCTGGAAGGACGTGTATGCCAAGAAATGAAACATCAATTTCCAAACTGTTTATAAACTGTACGACTATCTCGGGTATTTCTCATACCTGACATCTTTTGAATTATTCTACTCTGATGTCAGTAGGGTTCCTCTTAAATGCCAGTCAGCTAAGGTCATAAGTTGTCACTATCAGTTTATAGTTGGACGGATAGAATCGATCTATAAGAGGTCAGTTAACAGGCTGTCTTACTTACTTCTAATCGCTAAGAATGGTCATTGTTAATTTAGGCTATCTACGAGCTTATTTTTACATGTTTACTCCTTACATTTTCACTGGGATGCTGATATTTTAAAAGTTTTTCATGTGAAATAAAAACTTCCGAGTTATTCCAGTCACAACTGTATCCATCTTCTTACAAACAAATGTAACTTAAAAGATAACACATACTATATGTGATCATGCAAACAAGTTTGTTTGTATCAACATATCTGACTTCTGCTTCAAGCCTCTATTATCGTAGTATAAAGACGATTTTCAAACAAGGGTTAGCATCATGATATTGATGACGGATAGTGGCTAGGAGTGTAATCCAAGGCTCTCGCCTTGTCCTATTTGGAACTCGTCAGTTGGATGTATCTGTCTTGCAGTGAGCAGTCTTATTCCCAACTAAGAGTGGAACGTAGGACTAATCCTTCAGACGCCGGAACGTTATCCACTAGGCCACTGAAATTCTCTAACTCTGGAATCGTTAGTTTGAAATAATTTAACTTCGCTTAGTGATGCCTTTGAAGTGAAGACAGGAGTAAGACAACATTGCCTACTGTCACCCACGATCTTTCTGATTGTGATCGAATGGATTATGCGACAAACTGTGAGGAGTGAGAAGAGGAGCATACGCTGGCTAGACGGATGAAAAGACCTTATAAGAAGATTTGGATTTCGTTAAAGATGATGATTAATGTCTAACGTCTTGTCGTACAAACTCGAAGATCTACAGACGAAACCTGATTAGTTGACAGAAGAGGCGAGGCAGTGAAAACGGGACTTCAAGTGGATGTAGGGAAGACAGATGTGATGAAGATACCCAACCAACCAACAACAACAAGAGGCACGAATCACCATCGACGGGGGAAATCTAAAGAAAGTTGTGTCTTTCACCAACCAACAGTGCAAGGCAGCATCGTTTCAGCTACAGGTGGCACAGATGAGGACGTCAAAACCAGGATCGGAACAGCAAGCAAGACAGGCCTTCTTTCATTAGTCTGAAACCAGTGTGGAGATCTACTCCACTTCACTGCATTGCCAGTAGTATAAGGCGTGAACAACATCCGTATAGTCAACACTAATCCAGTCAAGTCAGTGCTTTTATGTGATGGTTGAGAGACATGGCACATTACAAAAGCGTTTCCAACAGAATAAAGACATACATGAAGAGCTGCGGCCCACGCTCGCTCACTCGACACTGAAGATCAGATCACATGGCCAGAATAATAGGAATAAGCAACAAGGAACTGACTGGGGCTGGCAACGAACCAACAATAAACCCATCACCCAACAAATATGAAGAAGACAGGATTAGGTTGGATTGGACATACACTGAGAAGATGGTTTGGGGACGTCACGTACCTGGCCAGGCCGTTGAGTGGAACCCGTGTGAGAAACGACAAGTTGGGCGTGCGAGGCTAGGTTGACATGGAGGAGATGGTGTGGGTAAGAAATGAAAGCATATGGGCAAGTAGTCCTTCAGCAGGGTTAAGCAGACTTGAGAGAAGAGATTGAAGTGGCTATGTGCTACTGAATTCATATTTTCCACTAGGAATCCAAGGGACAATAATAATAACTTCGAATCTGTCCCCAGAAAGAAAATACTCTTACTTGAATGAATAGTCTACCAACATACCACACGAACGTTTTCCTAGGTAAAAGTGCTATAAGGACATAGCATAATTTAAATGTTTAAAAACATGCATGAGATCATATCGTTTAGTCTATTGATGCTTGTAATTTCCGGTTGCTATACAGGATCGAATTTCTCGAACTATTTCGGTAGATTGGCACCTATGCGGATGCCTCGATACTGCTCAGATATTCACTATATTGTAATATACTTGGTCGCTAATAATATCAATAATCAATAAACAGCATCTGATACCCGTTGCACCAGAGGTGGCCGTCGTGCCCTACTGACCTAGTGGCTAACACTTTGGTATCTGAAGCGATGGATAGGAGGTTTGAATCTCAGTGGGAACAACACCACTCACTGGGGTGGAGGTGCATCGAGTTGACGAGTCCCGAATAGAATGAAACGCCTCTCCTGGATTCCACTGCCAGACATCAATTAGACTACATACTAATGGGTATTTGCTTAACTTCATCACGTTGTTTGTACTAGTTATTCTGGTGGCTATGTTGATGATAGTGTCTAGATTGATACATAAATGACTATAGGTTAAGATAATAACCAGATCAAAAAACAAGTGAAAGTAGATTTGATTACTGATGTGCCATGTTAGTTTTTTCTACATTAAACAATAAATTAGATAAAAGTCCCCATAGGACCCATTTATTGTTCCAATCACACTGATTATAACTACTTGTTTTCTGGTATGATGTGGAGTAGTAAACTGGTCTCCATTTAAGGGGATGTTCATTGAATTCGAAAGAAAATATCGTTCATAACAGTGGTGAAACCAGTAGTTTTCCAATTACTGGGATTTTGTTATCTTATACAGTTACTCAATTCCCGCTCTATATTTCTCGTTCATCTCAACAACAAGCATAATAATGATGATAATGAACCAACAGTTGTATACCATGTTTTCCCATGACAAATAAATAGGACTTGAACTAATTGAAGTATAACATAGATATGGTTAGAAGATGGGCCTCATAGCCTAGTTAACCGAATTCTGAGCTGATAAGTAAACTATGCTACGCTTATATTTACTACTCAACAAGTTATTCTATCAATGAATAAACCATTACTGGGAATTGATTTTATATGAGGTCAGTCATTTGTGATATTCGTTATGGAATAACATCAGGTGGAGTACTATTGAAAAACCTTGAAATTAATATCTGCCTATAAATCTCTTGACTGAATTACTTATCCTTTGATTAGAATATAAAACAATATGTTTTATTTTGTGAATGTATAACTATTCAACTATACCAATTATTGTTCATTCACTGTTGATACCTGTCTAGAAACTCAGTGATTGTTGGTTCGAGTTCTGTCATGGCTGAAATTTTTTTTATTATTTCACCTTCAGTCATCATCCTCTAGTATGAAGCGGTTGAATGAGAAGAAGAGAAAGTTGGTTGGATCTTTATCTTTCTTAGTCTATAAAATATTCTTGAAGGCTTACACAATACAACAGATTGGATAAATTCAATAATATAGTTAAATGTCATTGAACATTGTACAAAACATTTAGAATAAAGTTTTAGAACTGATTAAACGGCTTTAGTTATTTTCAATTTACAGTGCTTATTGCAATCATAATTATAAAATAAAGTAAATCTAATCAAAAAACAAAAGTAGTTATGAGTTTTTATTGCCACCTTAACTAATACCTCAGATATTTTGTTTTGATCAAGTAATATAAGGTTTGATGGTAAAGCCAATCTAAGATTTCAATTTATTTCATTTAATTACCTTTACATTTGAAAAATATTCAATAACAGCTTATCAGGCTACTAATTTGATTCTTCTAACTTCATTTCATACCAGTGTTTAAGGGAAAAACAACAAAGGATTATGTGAAAATCCATCTTACCGGTGGTCCCGATGGGCCAGGTGGGCCAGCAGGGCCTGGGGGACCAGCTGCGCCCATTTCACCGTCATCTCCATCTTTTCCTGGAGGTCCTCTTTGTCCAATTGCACCACGTAAGCCTTGTGAACCATCTTGACCTTTAGAACCTGGAAAACCTCTAGGACCAGGTTCACCATCACGTCCAGATGGTCCGGGTAAACCTGGAGGGCCTGGCATGCCCTGTCTTCCCATTTCTCCATCACTACCAGCCTCACCAGGTTTTCCAGGTAATCCATCCAATCCAGGATTTCCGGGCATTCCTTGAGCACCAATCATACCTGTATCTCCTTTTGGTCCAGTTTCACCCGGTGGACCACGTGGACCAGGTTTGCCAATATCTCCCATGGGTCCATATAGTCCTCGATCACCAGCGTCTCCAGGTGGCCCCATTGGTCCAGCTGGACCTGTTGGTCCTTGTGGTCCTGGTACACCTTGTGCCCCTTTCTCTCCAGGTGCTCCTTGTGACCCTGGTCCTCCAGATAATCCCCTTGGACCAGCGGCTCCTTGAGGTCCCATTGGGCCAGCGATTCCTCTTTCACCTTTTAAACCCGGTGGTCCATCTTTACCTGTAGGACCCTAAAAGAGGACAAAATAAACACATAATCGATAGGCAGTTAGTATAAGTAAGCCATTATCAAACTGAAAATATCGTTGTGTGTGCTGTTCTGAAAGCATCTAGGTGTTCAGATGATAAAGGTAATGGTAACATAGTTAGCAGTGGTTAACTTTTTAAGTTCGATAAGTCCTCAACAAAGACCGACTGTAAGTCAACGATCTCTCAGACTATGCAAAGTAAATCGAAGTCTACTTAAAATTAATTCATTAACAAATGAACATATACTAAGCTTAGTATATTTTGAAATAGGAGTGTTTAACCAACCGATTTCACTGCGCATGAAAATAACTAAGGTTAGAAAGAAATTTATGTCATAGTAAAGTTGGAGTCATTTGTTCAGTACTCTACTTCTTGGGCAGTACTACCAAACTGATAAGTGATTCGAAGTGCATTCATTAGTCAGGTGCACGTTTCTGCAATGAATGATGAGTTAAGCATATTGTGTGAGGACTAATCATATTACCTGTCTGCCTAGACTTAGGGAAGGGCTCGAACTCATGACTCAAAGACTGAGAGTCGAGTGCTTAGACCAAAGAGCCACAGCTCTAATAATAACCAGTTTTCAGCGTCATCCTAACTATCGTATGTTCTACTCACTTGTATTGCGAATGAGTGGTAAGTAATTTACCATTAAAGGACGTGTATATCATAATGGTTGTCATGGCTCACAGTCTCTGGTCACTGACCGAACCAAACTGATAGGGTATTATTGGCATGTGGGCTTCTGTGTGGTTGCACCAGTACGCTAGCATATTGCTGACCGCGGAACCTGAAGGTCCTGGGTCCGAGCCCTGACGATGCGGGGTCATGGGTGGGCACTGCTGAGGGGTCCCAGTTTTTCAGTGTTTCTCCAACTAACATCACTTCATGATGAATATCAACCTGAAATCAGGAGTTGGATATTTCCCAGCAGTGGAATTTATGACGCATGTTTCGCCCTATTTAAGGCTCGCCGAGTACATGCACCTGTTCCCAGCCCAGTAACTGGTGTTTTTCCAGCTGCAGCTGGAATCCAGAAACATTGCTTCAAGTGCAAGAATGTTATCAATTAGGTCATTGACATACGGTAACTACTGCTTATGTAATGAGTAAGTATATCCAGCTGATGACCCTCAAATTGAACTAAACACACCTATCGTTGCTACCACTGGTCAATGACTAAAATATTGCTGTTCATGTGATGTAAATGTCATAGGTTTGACTCAGGATGATAGTCAGTGTTCCCTCTATTTCTCTTTTTAGTTGTGAAATGATGAATATCAGTATGATGAGGAGACGGAACAATGAATCATACATAGGGCAATACTTTATTTCAACGTCATTACAACTTCGGTACTGCAGTCCAGCTTATGTATAAACTATAAATAGATCCTCAGTGCTAAACTGATTAACACTCTTGACGTTAATAAATTTTCTTAGGGACTGTAATGGGATGGGTAGTGGTTTGTTTCTTCAGATTCTTATCAATAAATCTCTAACAATATCCATTATTAGATAGTATTATTCTAAGAGTTTCGATTTCAGCATCCACCGTATCTTCTGAACATATTTCATAGATTCTGGAACACAGTGAGTGAATGAGATTTCTCTTGGAACCAAGAGGTACCCAAATATAAAAGTTAGTGAACTGACTGGTTCAAGTTGATTTTCGATAGACTGATCTTTTGAATCAAGCCATTATCCCTTCTCTTTAACATTACGTCTTGTAATTAATGAACAGTTATAACGCTGTCCAACTCACAGTTAGGGATAAATATAGTTTGAATTTCTATACATGAGGAGATATTCATTTCAATTGGATATTTCGTAATGTTTTCATGAAAAAAGACCAATACTGTTGTTGTATAAACTTTCAGCTAAAAAAAGGGTTCCATGAAACAAAACTAACTATTTATAATAAGAATTTCACTTTTTAAGTAATGTAATGAAATAAAAACGGATTGACAATTTGACTATTGGATAATAAATGAATTTAGGCGTTAATGTAAGAGTAAAACTGAGGGCAAAGTAGAAGAATTTAATTCCATCTTCATTGATTTATTACATATATCATCCAGTGGAACAATATTACTTTTACTGGATTCCTTTTAGGATACAGTTTATTGTCTAAAATCATATCAAGATAACTCAATAACTATGAGAAATGGTCTTTGTAGTTCGAATTCCCTTGTCTTCTTTGTGATACGGGCAGTAGGATTTTCTATATATATCTCCTGAACAGATGTTGAGTTATTCCTGTTGTATATATTCGATTTTGGTTGAATTAAACAAAGATTTGACCACAGTTTCGTATTCATCCTGAATTGACAACATTTGGGGAACCACTGGAAGCTTGGAAGCACTGGGAAGCTGTTTTTTTAAATCCTAGTATACAACTCTCCAGTAGTGCGCCAGAGAGCTAGATCCAGAACTTTGACATTCTGTGAGCAACACGTTACTATTGGGCTACTGAATTAGTACCCAGTGGCATACATTCCCTACTTCTATCAATCTATGATGTTGCATGCCGTTGTTCAGTAACTATCCTCACGTCCAACTTGGTTAACCCAATCAATTACTTTATTAGATGTATGCAGCGTAGTGTAGTGGATAACGTCGTCGTGGCTCGGTGGTGTAGTGGATAACGCTCTCGCGTTTGAAGTGATCGCTCCCGAGTCCGAATCCCTGTGTGAACAACATCACTCACTGAGAGGCAGGCACTTCCAGGTGACGTGTCTCAAATAGGACGAAATGTGCATCTTGGATCTCACTGCCAGCCACTGCCTATCATTACTATACATAATTAAAAGACAGGAAACATCGAGGCATCCGCACAGGAGCCCATAAGCCAACAGAGACTGATCAATTCGGTCCAATCAACGACGATGTAATACAAGCAATAACACTATGATGATTAGAACTGCAAAAGTTGATCACTAATAAGTCTAAGTGAATGGTGAATAACTCTTGACTTTTTTCAGATGCATTTTCATAAATAACTGGCACTGTTTTGATAATTGATAGTAATCTAAATACAATTCAGTACATACAGATTTGTGTATTTAGTGATGAACGACACGTGTTGTTCCAGGACTTATGGTACATATTGTGTGTCTAGACGTCTAAAGGCTGACCGATAATCCAAGTTACAATTTCCTCGCTGAAACTCCAGTGAATGTAAAAGACTCATTAAATAGAATATGATGTATACTTTAATACTGAAAAGTCGTATGTTTTTAAAATTTATATACGTCAAGTGGAAACTTTCATGTAAATTACCATAGGTCCAGGTTCTCCATCAGCTCCAGGACTTCCGTCTAAACCAGGATCACCAGGATCACCAGGAGAACCTGGTGGACCTTGAAGTCCCTCATCACCTTTTAAACCAATTGGTCCAATCATTCCAGAAGGTCCAGGTGGCCCTTGAGGACCTGCTGGACCCATTAATCCCGGGAAGCCATCTGGTCCTTGCGTGCCAATTTGACCAACTGGACCTTGAGCACCTGGTAATCCAAATGGTCCTTTAGGCCCAGGTGGACCAAATGGACCTGGAAGACCAGTTTCACCACGTTCACCCTAATAAGAAAATAAAAGATAACTGAAGATATATTTCGATAAAATCAGACGAAAACATATCCAACTTTCCAAACATAATAAAAGTCTATTATTAAACTCAATGCATTTCAATTTCGAGGATTATTGAAATATGATAGCAAATTCATTGGGCAGTTGAAACTATAGTTTGGTTTGTGAAGGATAAAGTATGTATGTGTATGTGTATGTGAGTTCCTTTAGGATTAGCGGCAAATAGAGGTAACTGCTAACAATAGGATTAAATTATATTGTTTAGCGTCGACAATACTTAAATCTCTAGTATCAAAATGGGTAAATAACTAATACCCGTAGTACAAGAAATGACTGTCATGTCTTAGTGGCTTGAAGTTTGAAGAGATCGCAACGAGGTACGAATATCAGTGGCAACAACATCACCAACTGCAGTACAGTTGTATACAGCTGACGAGTCCCAAGTAGGACGAATTCGTGCGTCATGGATTCCTCTGCTAACCACAGTCAAGTCATTTATTAAAAGCTTTGGTGGTAGACCAACCGATCCGGTCTTACAGCTTGAGCGCATACAGTCCTGTAACTTCGATGAAGTGTATTGAGAGGATTTATGGATTTCAAATCGATATTCATCAGGGAAGGATATCAGCTGGAGGAACATTGGGAACGTGAGAGCACTGGATAGCAGTGCGCACCCACTACCCCGTCAGGAAAATATGAACTATTGGGTTTCAACCCAGTGGCCCAATGGTAACGTGTTGGTTACTGGACTTAAAGGTCGTGGGTTCAATCCCTGGGGAAGTCATGGGTGAGCACCGCTGAGGAGTTGCATACTTGGACAAGACAGCTGTTTAGTGCACTCAGGTTTCCGATGTTTCTCCAAATGATGTCAGTCCGTGATGAATACCAACTACGAAGTGTCTTGAATTTATACGACACTCACTATCAACTAGTTCAAAGTTGTTTACCTTCACAAACCGGCGTTTATCAGGATGGAATTCTAGGAATTAAATATGCTTTCAATGAGTAATTAGAATTCATTAACTTATTGTCTAGTGACTTTCATTTTATCCTTAAATAGTCATCTGGAAAATCTAACTTGAATAATCCTTGAAATATTGACTAATTTAAAGCTAATTTTCTTCAACAATTGGGTAGTTAGTGGAAACCAACAATCGTTGAATGCTTCATTCATTCATATTTTGAGCTACTCAAAAGGTAAACTGTTTTAATCTTATGCCAAAGAAGAATTTACTGCTCACACCTGCAACTGAGATCAGTAATATTTAGCCAGTTAACTGAAATCCACTTGTCGGTAGATATAGATTCCCACAAGCGATTTTCTCATCATAACTCTTTACTGATTCTCACCAGATAATCACAAAATTTATTATGTGAAGAAATAACTAATAATGAGTAAAAGGTTACTATCGAACTGATTAGTATTGCTGACAAGTGCCTACAAGCATGACGCCTAGGTCCACAGCTTCCAGTCGATCACCTCCAACCAACATACAGTATCAAAGTGCGCCGTGATGAGAAGCCTCTTAACTTGGCGGCCCCACTGCAGAGTAGAATTGCGTCTACTTTCAGGACTAGACAAAAAAAGTCAGCTACTCTTCAGTGACCAATCAGTGTATCTAACCCAGTCCTGCATGACGTCAGTCACGGCTCGAATACCTCAGTGGTAACTTCACTGACTACAGAACTCAGTGACGTGGGTATGAATTACACACAGGATGTCACTTCCCTTGAAGCTAAAGATGCACATTACTGACGAGTGCTAAGAAGCATAAAGCCTGGGTTGAGTGCTTTATGCCAGTTACCTTCAACCAACTTGTATTATGCTAATTTACTTGGCTGTAGATAGCAGAGGAACCCTAAAATTTTCGTTAGCAAGTTGAAGTAAATTCAGACCGGAAGAAAGTTAGAGGTGGCTGGAGAGAAACTTAATAGCCTTCGGTGAAGTCTCTGACTCTTGGTCTGATTCGTTGAAAAGTCTGCGTGACGACAGAAACCCTTGGCTACAGACTCTACAGACTCGGAATCCAACTCAGTGGAGCCAATATACGTATCCAAACTCTCTTCACCCTAATTATCCGACTGAATTTTAGTATTTCCCCATCACAAGTGTCTTTATTTCCATGACTTTCTAGCACTTTCGACTACTTCATTCTCTATTTCTTCATCCTCCATTTTCCTGCCTTCTCCCTCAAACTGCTGATGGGAGGGAGGTATGGTAACTTGCAAGTCATACAGTAATGTCAGATCCTAAATCGATGCCATCTGTCCATATGTATATATCCTTATGAGTAGTATGTAGAGGAAAGAGACAATGATTCAGCCTTAAATACCTGTCTAAAAGTACTTTATAAGCGTTTCAGTCGGTTCGTCAACTGTGCGGACACCGATGAAAAATAAATTTCCTTCTTCATTTCAGAAACACTATACATATAATGAGGATAAAATACATGGATATACATGACATATTACACAGACTCAACCTACCATTGGTCCATCAATACCTGGAGAACCTTTGATTCCTTTCAAACCTGGTGGACCCATTGGACCCGGAGGGCCTGTAGGTCCGATTAGACCCATCGGACCAACTGGTCCAGGTGGTCCTGAAGTTCCACGCAATCCTGGCTCACCATCCAGCCTGGTTTACCGTCAACACCAGGATCACCAGATGGACCTGTAGGTCCACGTCCACCATCTTCACCAGCAGGTCCTGGTGGCCCTGGTTCACCAACTTTTCCCGGTGGTCCGACAGGTCCTGCCGGTCCAGGTAGACCGGGTTCACCTGGTGCACCACGGGACCTGTCACAATATTTGCTTGCAGAAATGGTCCAGGACCTTTGACACTCTACAAAAATTCAAAATAAAAGCAATGCAGAAAATTGACATCATGCACGTTAAGACATACACTTGACGCAGTTCATATTCAAAATGAAATGAAGAGTAACTGAACTCAATTTAAAAACCTATATCACTTGCTTCATAAACCTCAACTGTTAGCTAAACATTACTCTGTGTAGTGGAAGTCAACCACTACATGCAGATATGTTCATCACGTTAGTAAGTCAGACATTCTAAATGTAGCTTGAAGATAAATAAATTCCACTAGTTCTTGGAAGTTGGATGTCTCAACATATGAACTTCCATGTCTGGAGTATATATATTCAGTCAAAAGGCAGTAAACTTACACATTTGTTGGAAGGTGTTACAGATAAACCAGCTGTGTATGCATAGAGGAATAAAGCAGATTTGAGGAGAAAACCTAGTTACTGGGTATCAAACTTCTCTCAAATGCTCAGCTTCATTTCACCTTAGAGATATTAGAAGTGGAAGTGAGTGATATCTAGATGGACTATTGGTTCACTGGAGAGTAATCAACATCCTCCAGTCCGGCTGTGTTGATTGACTGAATTCCTTCGATCAAGTGTGTAATATGACTGACTATGAAGCCGAGAAGAATTTGAAGCTACCAAGGATATAGTCAAATTTCACATAAGTGGTTTTATGAAGCTAGTTGGTATGAGAGAGATCAGGTGATGGGATAGTTATCGTCTGTCTTAAGAGAACAATCATAAGATGGACAGTACAAGAGTAGATCTGACTGAAGGGGTGCTTTTACTTCTGAGTATGAAGTGGTTACAGAATTCACTTTTCTGACTTTTATCAAAAAGAAGAAACGAATTGGTTCTTCAATCAGAAAATGTGGTGTTGCCTAACCCGAAAAACTACAGTGACGACTGAATTCTTACAGTTGTATCAAGATGTCAGCGACCAAAGGCTAATACATGTTTCAGTAGGACTTTCAAAATGAGAATGTGAAGGTATTACATCATTTGTCTGGTGAAATCCACCTGAAATAACCCAGCTACAGATTCATCGTACAACATTATGCACAGATTTAAATCGAGTCCATGCAAGGATGAACAAGCACATCTCCTCTGCATCATGGAGATACTTTACATACACTTATCTCCAAACTATAACTCTCTCTGTTTGTTCTGATGTGTAGACATGTGCAGACAATGTGCGTAGTCCCTATTATTGCTTTGAATCCCGTCGTTGGTTGAACTACAATGTGTCGGGGGAGGGATAAAATGTGTCTACATTTCTCTAATCTCATAACATGATAACTGTTATGTGTAAGAACTTCAGAGTTCAGTCCTGACCTGGATTGACTCATCACCAATTTTATGTTGATTCTGACCTCCAGTCTTTCTAGCCTCTGAGTTCGTTAAATGATCCAATTACTACCCATTTTATCCAAAAAGCAAGTGGACTGCATCAGTTAATAGACGTCTTGATTACTTTGTCGAACGATAGATGAATAAAAGTATGTATGCAGGCAGGTATTGTGATAAAATATGAGTCTATGTGTTAAACATCATGCCTGGAAAGATAGAAATTTCAGCTTGAATTACGTCTTGTACTTGTTTCATACTGCTTGAGAAGGTATATATGAGACAAGTCGGAAGTCGATATTCTCTTAGAGATTATTCGAAGGTGACTGTGTTGGCAAATTAATCCTCGGTTTATGATCACTTTAAATGCAGTATCTAGATGTCAGTCTGTCACTGAAAGTCTACAGTTTTAAGTACTAAAACTTGTAACATTGTAATGACATTCCCATCTGGTTAGTAAGTTAAATCGCTGGGATACTTGCTACACATGCCCAGTCACTTTTTATCCATATCGGTATATTAAGTGAAGGTTTTTAAGAAAGAAAAAGGTTAGATGGAGCCAGATGAAAACACGGCGTCAGTTCACTAAGTCTCTGATGTCTCAACTGAGCAATGTAGGGAAACGTAGATTTTCCAGTTAAGGTCTATAGGACAGCCAAAATCGATGGTTTGAGACTCTGTGTAGTTGATTTCGATAGTGCAGATGTTTTCACACACACACACACACACAAACACACACACACTTTTATCTTAATCGTCATATCGACCTGTTCTTTTTTTCTTAGGGCCATCTATAACTTCTGATTACATACCTCCTTATTTCTTTATTTTTCATCTTGCTATCTTTACGCTTGATGTGTTGATGATGTGCAGAAAACTGGATACAGTAATACCACGTATCATGGTGATACTGAAAGACTGAACAAATCGGTTACGTAACCCAACATAGAAAGCGCTGAGCGAATAAATTACATAGTTTTTTTGTCAAATAGATACTTTAATTACTTTTAAGATTAGTAATACTTAAACCAGTTAAGGTGATGTTTATTTAGTTCACTAAAATCATTACAAACAGTCATGTACAGGAAAGATTCATCAGTGATTCAAAAACAGCTGAGTTTAATCTTTTAATACATTGGTTTTCTACACTTTAAACCATTCACCTATTTGACTACATCATTATCATCTTTTTCTTTGAAAGCTTTACAGTTCAAATTAATCGAAACTATTTTTTCAAGTTATTGAATTCTACCAATTATGAATGAATACACTTTATTGCCCAATTATTAACAAACTAATCTGTATGCGAACTTAGTTAAACAATCTATTTTTGTTTATTTTAAATCTCAAATCATCCTTATTTCAATTCAAACTGGTTCCAGCTTTATTTGACAACCTGCAGAGACTGAAGGATGCACTGGATTCAAAACTATGACCAGAACAGACTGGCTGGATTCAGGAAGTACAAATCATGGGCGGCCAAAATTGCTACGCAACGCTACGCATCATCATGGAACAGAGTATAGAATGGTAGTCGACTCTCTACCTCAACTTCATCGACTTTGAAAAAGGCCTTCGGTAGCGTCGACTGAGAAGTAATTTAGAAACTGCTTCAATACTACGGAATGCAACAAACCTTTATCAATCTCATTCAACAACTATCTGAAGATGCCACATACCAAGTAATTCACAATGGGAAGCTCAGTGATGCTTTTGAAGTGAAGACAGGAGTGAAACAAGGTTGCCTACTATCCCCATGATATTCCTGATTGTGGTCGACTGGATCATGAAGCAAACAGTGGGGGGCGAGAAGAGGGGGATACGCTGGACTTCGGAAAAGAATCTGGAAGATTTGGATTTCACCGATGACTTGTGTCTAATGTCACACAAACTTGAAGATCTACAGGTGAAAACTAACAAGTTGACAGAGGAGGCGAGGCAGCGAAGATGGGACTTCAAGTGAACGTAAAGAAGACGAAGGTGATGAAGTCACCAAACCAATACCACCACCACCAACAAGCTGCAATCACCATCAACAAGAGAAACTTAAACGAAGTAGTCTTTTTCACATATCTAGGCAGCACTGTTTCAACTGCAGACGAGGATGTCAAAGCCAGGCAGGATCAGTACTACAAGACAGGCCTTCAATAATCTGAAATAATCAGTGTGGAGATCTACTACACTGCACTCAGCACAAAGAACAAGATGCGGATTTTCAATACCAATGTCAAGTCAGTGATACTTTATGGTTAAGAGACTTGGCGCGTCACGAAAGGGCTTTCCAACAAACTACAGATATTCATCAATAACTGCCCCCTACGCTGATTCGTTACTGAGGACCAGATGGCCAGAATAATAAGAATAAGCAACAAGGAACTCTGGCTGGCTTTCTGGCAATGAAGCAACCAAGAACCTATCACTCAACAAATATTCAGAAGGAAGTAGAGATGGATTGGGCATACACTGAGAAGGCCAACTGGGGACATCACGTGTCAGGCCAGGCCCTCGAGTGGGAGCCAGATGTGAAACGACGAGTTGGGCATCCTAGGAGAGGGTGACATGGAGGAGATCGTGTGAAGAAGAAATGAAAGCTTGTGGGCTGTCCTGGAGCCAGGTCCAAAAGATTTCAGAGAACAGAGTGTAATGGAGACGTGCTACTGAAGCTGTATGTTCCATCAGAAACCCAAGGGACAAATTATTATTATTATTATTATTATTATTATTATTATTATTATTACTTGACAACACTCAACATTGAATCAGGCATTTATATTTTCTGCAGGAGTGGTCCTTATCAGCTATATTCTCATCTGTATCATTTTGGCATATTGCATTATACTATGTTACCTTAATCAATGAATGGTGTTCAGTGGACAAAAGAAAATATGTTAAATTTTTACTTTGATCTTTGTAAGTAATCAGTTGACAGTAACTTAAAATAATCATATCATGTCTCTATCCTCAAAATCAAACGGAAAATATTGGTTTGAATTCAGTTGTTAAACAAGTAAACTGTTAACATCATTTGTTATATATATATATATATATATATATATATATATATATGCATACAAACTTTAAAATTAATAATTTTACATACTGATGGTACTGGTGTAGTTTCCTCGGGGATATCTTCATCTCCACCACTTGCTGAAATGTCCTCATCCAGTATATCTTGTCGTCGGATACGAGAAACACGTTCACCTATGATAGGATAAAATCATAATAATTCTTAACATCATTATCATTGTCAAATTGTTTTATTTTATGAAGATAGTGTTAGCTCATCCTTGGAGTCGAGGTCACCACCATTATACACAGATTAGTTCCATTCACATAGTGGAAGTGTTTAAAAAACCAGATTTGAGTAGGTTTTGGTGTAAAGTTAACTCTAAACCAAAAAGCTGTGGCATTCAGGTGACCAAATCACCTCGATATGATTAGAGTATATTATTGAGTGACGTAATTAGGATTTCTAACCAATCAGTTAACAGTTTATATCGTGTAGTATTTCAACACAAATTTCTCATACCAATCTTACTTTCCAGGAGCATACAGATTGTCGTTTGAATATTTTGATTTCTAAAGAAAACTGGAATAGATATGCACAACTGAATATCTCGCAAACATCTGCTAAGATTCCAGGTACTGCATTGAGTCATGACGAACGACATCATGGTATTGACTTCATTACTCAGACACTATGATTACTGTTATTGTGGAATGATTGTCATTATAAAAATATAACTCGGGTTGAGAACCTTCAACATACTTGATGATCAAACAAGAAGTTGGCTATTATATTATACAAAAAATTCATTCAGATTGTCAGATTCCAGTTTAAATGTTTACTACTTTAGTTACTGTCCGAGGAGTTCTTCAAATTCTCATTCAATAGTAATGGTTGTCTTGCAGAACTGATAGGAATCCAACCTTACACTGGTTTGCACGATCACTTCAGCTGTCATTCAGTGGTCTACCGTTTTTAATAGAATAAAGACTTTACAGTAGTGTTATCTTGATGTATCATTTACATCACAAATATTACGTAGTTATTTCTTGATCTTCAGCTCCATATTCTAATTTTCGTCCTAGAAGCGACCATTATTAATTGGATGAGATTACATTAATGATGGACAGTAGCTAGAAGTGAAATCTAGGACATGCATTTATTTCCTATTTGGGACTCGTCAGCTGAATGAATCTACCTCCCAGTAAGTGATATTGTTCATACTAAGAGTCGAACCCAGGGTCAATTACTCTAAACGTCAGAGCCTTATCCACTAAGCCAGTGAGTCACGGTAGCCGTCTGTTGTGAGACGGGCATACCTCTCTTAGAGAGAACAATATCGTTTACTGACAGCCAGGTGCATCCGGCGGGCGAGTCCCAAATAAGACGAAACGCGCTTCCCGGATTCCATTGCTAGCCACCATCCATCATAAATATCAAAATTGAAAGTACAAGCAATATCCAGGCATCCACACAAAAGCTCACATTCTAATAGTGGCCGATCAGTGACGGAGATTCGTAAGCTGTAACATCCTGTTACGCGACTTCGAGACATGGCCGTTAAAAGCAGAAAAGATGAAGCGGTTTAGGGGTTTTGTTCATAGGTTGCTTCGTAGCATTGCTGGCGCATAGTTGAATTGCCATGTGGACAGTGGTGAAATCAGACAATGAGGCTGTGAACCTTCACTGACTGAGGTGGCTTGGACTTGAGTTGGTCATGCCAAGCCACCGCCTACCTCTACGTGCTATGCTAACAAAAGATGGATTAGGTTGAAACAGGGTTTGCAGAATAAGACGTGGCACCAGTCGATGAAGTATCTCACCCTTAGTTGACCAACAACTATTGGGTCACTGGTTCAAACCCCACTCCACCTACTGTGGTTTGAGTAGTCAGGTAGTATTATTAGCCCTCATGAAAAAGCTGTGCACACGGTGGCTGAGTATGTTACCTTTTTCTTTTACTCTTGGCTTGAACCATGTAGGCAGATTCAGACTGCCTGACTAGGTTCCCCGAGATGTAGAAACAGTGTTTAAGGAATCTTGGTGATATGCCTGAAAACCAATCACAGTGGTTTAGATGTATTTACTCCTTGATATCTTCTAGAGCTTGAATATTCACTAACCTTTATCTTCAGCTTGTTTATTCTCCCACATATCTTTTTCTACTTCGATATCACTCGTTTTCTATCTACCTTCCTGTTGTTTGTACAATACTGTAAAGTGTAGCAATTTGATTCGATCCACTTGAGTGGAAGATTCAATGTTTATTTTGTCTGTCTGTCTATCTATTGACATCAAAACACAAATGAACGAAATGAATTAGTAGATTGTGATTTGTTAATGAAGGTCTATTTATCCACTCTAGCGTAATGGTAACTTTACTCTGTTTTGGCAAACTATTATCATGCACCAAGGCATATACAATGCATCTGAATGTATTAGTAATGTAGCAGGGCAAATTACAATTTACTAATTCAGAGCAAGTTATTCCAACTCCTCTGTTACTGGAGATTTTTGTTCAGTGGAGTCATTTCTCATTGAAAATCATAAAAGGAAGGGGGATGCCAAAAGCTTTTTAGCACATTATATAAACACACCTTATAGTGAATGAATAGCATAACAACATATTCCTATTTCGTTTACGTAATGCAATTTCAAAACGAACACATTTATAGCAGTGGAATCTAGGATGCGCATTTCATCCTGCTTGCGATGCACCTACCTCTCAGTGAGTGGTGTTGTCCCCACTGGGACTCGGACTCGGGGGCGAGAGCGCTATCCATTACACGACGGAGCCACGACAGCCACTTTTTGTGCGACGGATTTAGTTTTAGTGTTATTACTTGTACTACACCGTTGTTGACTGGACTGACTAGTCACGATGGGCAGTGGCTAGCAGGCATCCACACAGGAGCCCATATGCCAACAGAGACTGATCGATTCGGTCCAATCAACGACGGTGTAATACAAGCAATAATACTAACCATATTTATCGTTGACTACTACTTTCTCGTTTCAGTAGTATATGTATGACCGCAAAATAAGAGTAGTATGGAAAACCTTTGGTACTACAACAACAGAAAGGAAGACAGTCAATTAAAGTAAATATAAGGAAGTAAAAGTTATCAGAAAATAGGTTCCCTCATAGCACGATAACTGGTGCATGAAGAAAAATAAGTGTATGAGTTTAGCCGTTTCTCCATAGAAAACACTTTTATCGGGCAAATACCTCTAAGAAGGAAAATATCGGACTCTTAGAGGTTTTCTGGAGATTCACAATACAGTTCCACTTACATGCATCCTGTTATTTTGTTCAGCCAGCGTCAAAGAACAGATGTGTCATCGGTTTCAGTTGCTTTCAGTCGACAAAACTTAGACTGTATGGTATTTGTCACTCCTTTTCTAATCAGCGAACGAATCATGAGTATGAATGCCTTTCCTACTGAGATATGTGTAATCAGAGAGTATCATAACCCTCTCAGGGGCATTGCGTTGTCTGAGCCAGGTGGTTTAATTGTCGAAGTCTTCATTGTCTATCTAGGAGAAAAGTATCATTACTAACTTCAACATAAAGTGAGCTAAAAGGACTTTTCCATTAGCGATTCAGTATCTTGTTCTGATGAAGTGCTTTGTAATTGATAGCCTCTTTTGATTGTTACGTCATTTGCTGCACAGAATTTCTTGTTGGCCGATTCTCTACCTGACCTCTTATCGTATTAGCCACTTAACATTTTTCTCATTGTAATGATGGGTAGTGGCCAACAGTGGAATCCAAATGTGCATATTTCCTTTAAAAAATTTCTGGCAACTTATAGAATGCAGTAAATTCAATATTCAATGTTTCAATGTTGCTTTTGTTTTTATCGTTAAATTAGTATTAGATACAGTTACATCTTAGATGTACTTTAAAAGTATCACTAAGCCATTTGCCAAAAATAATGAACACTTTTTTTTATATTCAAAGAATAAGTTTATAAGATATGAGTACAAAATACTTTGATGAATGTTGAAATAGGCTGACAAAATTCATTTATGCTGCATTCCTGTTTTTATATATTTATTTTTAGAAAGGTATTTGTTCTAACTTGTCCTCAGTAATGAAATGTATCAGAAGTTTTCTATGCCACGTGTACACACTGGAGTGGAATTGAATACTAAATTCTTGATGAAAATGAAACCTATAAGTTCAAAGTATTTCAGTAGTCAGTTAGAATTTTTGAACACAAATATCAATAGTCAGTGAGTGATATTCGTTGTACCTCAGGTGGTTGTCATACTCCAATAGTCTAGTGAAGTAATCCTTTGGCACATAAAGCGAGTCTCACACTGGGAACAATATCAGTCATTGGAGTGGAGGTGTATCCAGTTGACGAGTCCCAAAAGGAATATACCGCATATCCTGGATTCCACTGCTAGCCACTATCCATCATTAGTACAACTAAAAACCATAGGTAATATCGAGGCATCCACACAGGATCCAAATACCAATACAGACCGATCATTTCGGTCCAATCAACGATGGTTTAATACAAGGAATTATACAGAAATTTATAGTGTCAGAAATCAAATTCTATGATCATGACCTGATGAATTCCAACGGTACTCACTTGAAATCACTTCAGCTGTGAAGAATATTCACTTGGAGCTTGCTATTTATAAAATATGGCCACCTCTTGTTAGGGTATGGAGAATAATTAGAAATGATTTGGACAGTTATTCTTGTGATTTTTCAAAAACACCTACCGTCACACATTCAGAATGTGGCGCATTACTAAACAAACAGAATAAACTCTGAAATACCTAAACATACATAGTAATTCAATCTGGAAGTTTACAGGGATTTATTTATTGATGTCAAGTCGGTATTCATCAGTCGGGGAAGCACTAGAAACCTGGACCACTCTAGTACGGCACTCCTCATCAATATGCATGCATGATCGCGTCATAGATCAAACCCAAGACCTCTAGGTTCCTCTGTTGGAGCATTATATCTGAGTTACTGACACGGAATCCAACTGCCTACATTATCCTTATAGTATTGGGTGGAGGTCATGCTATTTCGCGAACTGACAGAAGTAGGAGAATGTGAACCATTAAAATCTACCCCAGTGACCCAAGAGTAGAGTGCTGGCCATGGAACCTGAAAGGCCCAGGGTTCGATCCCTGAATAGGTCATGGATGCCCACTGCTGAGG